GTCTCTGTGTATCCACCAACCCAACCTTTTGTTTTCTGGAAAAAACTTGTCGTGTTTTGGAATTGTGATTCTCTTTTTTGTTTAAGGTTCTATGTCTTGTGGTCCCTTTTGTGGGACAAATTTTGGATATAAATCAAAGTTTTACTTTGGTCGTCGCCTAAAAACAAAATTTGCTCTTTCAAAAAGTCTGTTCTTCTTTGTTGTTATTTGAATCGTTGATATTCAACTTGTGAAATAAGCATCTCTCAGAGACTCAGACTTAGCACCTTAGACTTCTAAGATAAGTACCTCATATTAAACTTAGCATTATATTGGAGATTTCGCATTCACCAATCCTATTGTTTTGGACCATTTTCTTTTCTTGTTAAAAAAATCCAATTAGCTCTAAAGTTAGTGTTTCAATGTCTCTTTTGGAAATCAAAAGAGAGAGGGAGGTGAAGAACAATTTATGTTCATCCTTGATCCAATCAAACAAACTCATCTCCGCGACTTCTCAGGTTAGCATTCAGTAAAGCTTTAGAAAACAGTCAAAACCACGAGCAAGACAGAAAAATTTACATCAAACCGTGTCTCTAGTGTCGCGCATCATCTTCTTGCCCTAAGCCAGGGATTTCAAGAATTGAAGGATCAATCACACCAAGACATTATCAACCTTTTTTACCCAAAGAGCTGATTACATACTTGCTTCTCGAGCCGAAGGCCACTAAGCAATGCCTTGTTAAATCAAATCTAAAAAGTGTGTTCCAAATCCATATGTGATTCCCAATAAAATGCAGCAGAAATCTAGGCCTCAACAAAGGTTTCACTAGAAACCGAAAGCAGACAAGTATCACCATTCAGGCAAGGTGAAGCCACTAATATCAACCAAGAAGATGGCCAGATATCAGCACAGTAACTCCAGTGATATGAGAACCAATGCTTAAGGGTCATCGTAAAAGAACTGACTAAAGCTCAAAAAAGACATATGCTGAAACCTTTAGCTAACCTCATAACGGATTTCTACAGATTGGTAGGCATTAATGCTTCATGTTCCTAACAGGAAAAATAGCAAGCTTACTCCAGATGTGGTGTAAACTATGTTCTCTTCCTTTGGATCACAAGTATAGTTACTAGCTTCAGAAAATCACCAATCAACATTGCTTTAGCTGCAAACTGCAGAGTTTCTAATGAGACACTAGCACACAGGTTGAGATATACACATATATATCTTCCAAGACTAGAGAAGAAATTGATCAAATATCATTAAATTAAGAGTACGATAAACTTTGCCTTGTAAGGATGTTCAGAAAAACGCATCACAATAAGAGAGACAGAAGAATCAAATCATTTTGAAATTTTCTCAAGCTTCTCATCAGCATCCTTAAGCGCCCGCACAAGATGCAATATACGGTACCTTTGCTTCTCGTTTTCAACAGTCAGTTCCTTCACCTAATAGAATCAATACTCAGTCAAAACTCAATAACAAGCTACGCAACTAACACATAAAAAACAAAGGTAGTTAAACAATGTGAACAGAAAGAAAGAGATTACCACCTTACTCTGTTCTTGCTTCACTGTCTCGTTAGCTTCTTCGAGCTTTGACTTGATTTCAGAGGTTTCCTCCTGAAGTTTCGCATCTGGAATGTCTGAGAACAAAAGAATATATAAACTTCAAGACAGACACATAAGAGGCATACTCTGAAGATGATTAAAAAAACCTGTCTTGGTGGACGCAAGAGCAGCTTCAAGCTTAGCCAATCGCTCCTGCCAAATAAAAACATGATTTTGAGAGATTAACGTTAGGAATATAGAAGAAAGTGTCTGTTCATCGTCATCGGATAACAACATCACATCAATGAATGAAAAGCAAATCTCCGATTCAGCTGTAACACTAGAAAACACTAAGAAACTCAACCCAGAAGAATGGAGATGGAAAAACCCTAACTTTGAATCAAAATGGATACATATTGTGAAATTGAGTGAAGAAATAGAGAGAGAAACCTGAGCTTCGGTGGCTCTGTGAAAAAAGGGTTTCAATGTCTCAGGAAGCTGATCCGCCATAGCTTCCATTCTCTTAGCAGCCGCTTAACTCCGGAATCAATCCGTATTGTGTTACCAATTACTGTATGCTAAAATTTCCAGTGGAATATTTGCATTTTTTTTTTATATTCGGTAATTGGACAAATAATTCGTTGTAGGAAACAAAATGGTGTTAAATATTTGGGTCGATAGGAAAAACCAATTGGTCCAACACCAACATTGTTTGAAATTTACACTATAGGTTTTCACTTTTTTTTTTTGATAGATAACTAAAAAAAATATATTTTAAAATCTAACAAAATAAATTCCCACCCATTAGATTTAGAGCATTTTATTAGATTTTAAAAAATATATTTTTTTGAGTTATCTACCAAATTGACCATAGTTTAACATATGGTCAATTTGGTGGATAACCAAAAAAAAAATTATAATTCAAAATCTAACAAAAATAGTATGTGTGGCAATATTATGACCGTTAGATTTAGGGGAATTAACACTTTTGTTTTTCAATAACTTTCCAAATCATTGTACTTTTTTTTTTCGGTCTAAACTTTTTATTCCAAATGAATAAAATGAAAGAGGTTAACAAAGTTTGTAGAGTTTGTTTGGCTATCTAATTTGTCGTAACATTAGCATAGCGAGGAATAATTCGAAAAGATATCGAAGAAAAGGATATCGTCGTCATAAGGCGAAAATCATTAACAATAGTGTATGAGTGTCGTGAAAGTTGAAGAGGCTGATGAGTGAAAGTGAGTCAGAAAACACAAGAAACTCCTCAAAATCTTGATCCGTAGCTTGTTTGAATATTTGTGGTTGACCAAAAAAAAATGGTAAAAAAAAAAAACTCTCATTGTTTGAACATTTGTGGTTGACCAAAAGAAATGGTTTCAATGCTACTTTTATAAAATTGTTAATACTACCATACATATCTCGTTAATATGAAATGGATTAAATTATAGTCAAATAACGAAATTAATACATAAAGAATACCTAAAACTCACACTTGGTCCTTACAATTCTTGTAAACCCCATCTATCTATATAATAGCTTTACCATCTATATATAAAACCAAAACCTCAAATATTCTCTGAAAAAATTGGAGAAGAGGTCGCTAAGGTTTTTAGAAATGAAGTTCACAACATTAGTGTTCATCGCATTCGCGACGATTATTTTGTTACATGTAGCTCCGACCAAAGCAGTCTCAAATGCAGATATGGAGAAATGTCTGAGAGACCTCAACTCATGTTGGCCAGCGTTTTGCGACAGTTATCAGCCATCGACAAATTGTTGTAACGAGTTGAAAGTATCACAATGTCTTTGTGTTTATTTAAATCCTCCAGTCAATCAATTTTTTCACTCCCAAAATGTTCATAAAGCTTTAACGACTTGTAGTATTCCTCATCCTCTATGTTGAAGATAATCAAAATATTTATAAAAATACAATGATGATGTTTGATGTTTGTTATGTCATGGTTCAAGCTGATTATATGTATTGGTCGTTTTAGAAAAACAAAACATGTATAACTAAAGACACAAAGAAAAAGTTTAGTAGCGTTTATGAAAGAAAGATTAACAATGGAAGAGAACTAGAGATAAACTTTGTAGTTTTACAGTAGTTTT